TATGCATATGCGTATATGTATATGTAACTGTGTGCACATATGTGCTTGTATATGTGTACACACATATATCTTCATCCCCCCGGACTTTATGGGTACGTAATATAACTCGCATCCTTAAAGAAAGCGATTTTTCAGATATCTACATCGATTTCAAGAGGCCACTTCCTCCGAGGGGCATCGCCGAGCGAGTGAGCCCGATTCGGTCGCTAGTGAAGGAGACGTTCTTCCTGGAGGCATTGAGGGGCTTCTGGGTTTAGCGTGCAGGGCTTGGGGTTGAATGCTTGAAGGTTTGGGGGGAGGGTTTTGGGAGATTTGGGCGACTGGGGGAAGGGCGTAGAATGATTCCTCCCGCAAGGTTGAAGCAGTTCGGGGTCCTTCTGGCTAAATCTTAGGGTCTTCGGGTTTGGGCATTGAGGTTAGGGTTCTGCCGTGAACAGGTTCTGCGGGCCTTGGGATCAAGGTCTTCAGGGTTTCTCACTGAAGAGGCTCGCTTCCCTCATTTCGCTCTGTGTTTCTTTTTTGTTCGTCCAGAGGGTTTGAGGGTTATAGGCTGTATGGTTTGGGAATCAAGGCACATGGACATTGGGGCTCCAACGGCTTCAGAGTTCTGAGTTTGGCTTAGGGCTTTGGTGCTTTAACGCTTGGAGGTGTAGGCTTTTAGGAGCCGTCCTTTGGGCTTGGAGGCTTGGGTTTACGGTTTAGAGCTTCGGGCTTCCAACGCTGTAATTAGCCCTAAGCCCCAACGCTACAAGTTCCTATAAAATCCTACCATCCCGAAACTCCCCATCTGTCGCTGCCCGGCGGCTGGGGCACGATGGTGAAGAGAATCTCCTTCAGGAAACCAAGCACCTGGGTTTAGGACTAGCCTACACGAACTGCTCATGATAAACACAAACCTGGAAGACTTTTTTCTCCAATTTAAGGTTCAGAGACTGTTGGAGTTCATGACGGACTCCAAAGTTTTGATGAAGGCTTTTCTTTGCAGAAACTGCTCTGAATCATTCATACAAGCACTGAAACAAGATGTTGAGAGGTGAGGGCTGTTCTAAAAATTATGTTCCGGCTCCTTACCAGACCCAGAGTATCAAAACCGGTATACCCCGAACTCGCCAAACCCTCCGTGGGCATAAGCTGATAAGGATCAATGCTTAGGGTTAGATATGTCCACGGCTGAAGCAACGGTTCAGGTCTAGGAGTTTGGCCCCCCAGCCCGGCCCGTGAGGTTTACAGAGGAGTTCATGATTCAGCAGGCCTGGCGCAAGGATGCATCTTTTCTCGGCGGCGTGGCGCAGTCGATTTCCAGACTTAGGGCAGTAGGGCGTCAGCGTTTCAAATCCACTGAATTGGCGAATGGACAAACTTCGAACCTGCATCAACCTGGCAACCCTGTCACCTCTTTGCCATGAGGCGGGGTTCAAGCTGTCTGTGCCGTCATGTCTCACAGTGTTTCGAGCCCACCTCAAGGGCAACCCCATCCCGGCCCAACAATCGAATGACCACACCCAGTGACCCTGTGCCCTATAAACCCTCAAAGCGATGGACAAAACATGGCTTCCACTAGTTGGATCTATGTGAGTCTGTATTATAAGTATGACGTTTTCGAAACCGGAGAAAGGCTGAAGTTGAAGCGTTTGCAAACTTCCACCCACACCGGACCCCGCCTTATGCCTAACTGTCATGAACGTGTCTGCTGTCACCGCCGTGGTCGGGATCACCCCAGGTGATCACAGATCCATCGCCCAACACGGCAGCAAACGCCCCAGATGAAGCTTGGATGTGCTGCACATCCTTCAGCTTCTCCCGCACTGCGCTGTTGTCGCCACCCTCCTCGGGATCACCCCAGGCGACCACAGACCCATCGCCCAGGATTGCGGCAAATGCACCTCGGATTGAGGGTTGAGGGGTTCGGGGTTTAAGATTTGGTGTTGAGGCTTGTTTATAGGGGTGAAAACAGGGTTGCCTGGACTGCAGCAAAAGCACCGATGGAAGCTTGAATCTGCTGGACATCTTGCAGCTGATGCTGCACGAACATGCTGTTGCCACCATACCCCGGATGGCCCCAGGTAACAACAGATCCATCACCCAAGACGGCCGCAAAAGCGTATCGTGAAGCTTGGATTTGCTGCACGTCAACCAGCTTCTCCTGCACTGCACTGCTGTCGCTACATTCAGGATCCCCCCAGCTGACCACAGTCCCATCGCCCAAGATAGCTGCAAACGATACACGCGAGGCTTGGATCTGACGTACAGCCGTCAGCGGCTGCACAGCACTGCTGTCGCCGCCAACGGCAGGATTACCCCAGGTCACCACAGACTCATCTCTCAGGATTGCAGCAAATGAGCACAAATATCCTTGGACGTACAGCACGCCGTTTAGCTGCTGCTGCACTGCACTGCTGTCACCGCCATCTTCGGGATCACCCCACGTGACCACAGATCCATCACCCCGGATCGCGGCAAATGCGCCACGAGAAGCTTGGATCTGTTGCACATTTCTCAGCTCAGCTTCAACGTCACGGCTGTTGCCACCATCTCGGGGATCACCCCATGCGACCACGGCTCCATTAGCCAGGATTGCGGCAAAGGCATTGTGCGAGGCTTGGATCTGCTGCACATCCTTCAGCTGCTGCTGCACAGCACTGCTGTCACCACCCCGGAAACGACAACCCCAAGTGACTACAGATCTATCACTCAGGATGGCAGCAAATGCGCCGTGAGAGGCTTGGATGTGCTGCACATCCTTCAGCTTCTCCCTCACTGCGCTGTTGTCGCCACCATCCTCGGGATCACCCCAGGCGACCGCAGACCCATCGCCCAAAATTGCGGCAAATGCAGACTGCGAGGCCTGGATCTGCTGCACATCCTTCAGCCGCTGCCGTAGGACCTTGCCGTCACCACCGCATCTAGGATGACCCCAGGTCACTACAGATCCATCACCAAAGAGCGCCGTGAATGCAGAGAAGCTCTCGCCCTTCATTGTTGCTCCAACTTGTGTCTGCTTCACGTGTAGCGTAAGCACGTCGCCGCTCTGTATGCCCGCATCTTTGACAGTTGCAACTGCAGCCAGGATTTCTCCAGAAGAGTTCATCAGCCGGCCTCTTCCAGCCTCGAGAGCGCTCTGGGCAAGCTGGTTCAATGACTCCACAGCGGTATCCTCCTCCACTTCCAAACATGTCCTCTTCCCACTTATCAAACACACATCCACGGAAACGGACATGCTGCCACTGCAGTATTCAGGATTTGCTGCCACAAACCTGCCATCTAATCTTCAAGCCTCAATCTGCAAACGTGCATGAAATTCCATCCCCATCCCTAAACCCTAAACCATCCCAACCCACTACCGTGGAGCCTATGCCCCAAAACCTGAATCGGCGGTAATTCATTTTCGACAAACCGGGCCCAGGGCCGAGGATAAAAGTGCAGCATCTGATGGCGTTTAACTTAAGTTGGAATCCTTGCATTGAGTGCTTCAAGGGTGCACCAAGAGGGCTTGGGTTTGCAGGGAGTCCGATCTCGCGTGGCCTTGCGGTGCAGCACTTGGAATTAGGACCCAGCACGGCAACCCAAATCCGACACAGGCCAAGCACCCAAAAGTAAAAGTTCAAATCCAGACGACGATTTAGGAAAAGAGCCGCTTCTTCAACCCAAACAATAAAGAGCCCACTCTGTTGTGGTAGTGGTGCTGGTGGTGGTGGTGGTAGTGGTGGTGGTGGTGGTGGTGGTGGTGGTGGCGGTGGCGGCGGTGGTGGCGGTGGTGGTGGTGGTGGGGTTATCCCGAACTACGATTTCTCACATGCTGCGTTGTTCAGACTCAGTTGTAAACTAGTTTCACCAAGCAGCCATGTAGAAGATGGCCCCGATCCAACCAGGGATTCTACCTGAGAATCTGACGAGCGATAAGTTATGCTGTTTGATTGAGTTGCTCGCTTTTTGCTGATGGGGAAGCAGGGCTTGAGGTTTCACCTAGGTATATCCGTAAGCCTGAATGCACCAGGTTAGCAGCAGGCGCGTGAGAGAACAGGTACCGGCCAAACCTTCGTAGAACCTCGGGGCCTGGACGCTGGCTGCAGACCCGTGCGTGGTACTTGAAAGTCCCAGGGTCGCCAAATCACTTCAGAGACCACCCAACTTACAGCCCTCTTGCTACGTCCACTAATCCTTTGAGTTCCGTTTATAGGTATAGAAACCTGACGTCCACACACGCAACTCACGCACGTCAGTATTCCAAGAGCCCAGTAACCCCGAACTCCACTAAGCCTAAACCCTGCAGCCGAATGTCAGCTAGTCAACAGGATGAACATGCCAATACACACCTGAATCAAGAAGAACATTCAAGCTCGACCTCAATGACCACAGCCGACATCCCAACGACGACGGGCAAAAGACTCAATCCAATCCTTGGCCAAGGGTCCTTCGCCCTTCATGCGCATCTCCCTGTTCTGCTCCGACTTGCTCCAGTTCTTTCCCTGATGGTGGGTTGTGCAGCTTTGGGTTCGGTAGTTTTCCTTGCATGCATCTACGTCCCATCGCGGTATCAGGTGAGCCTCAACCCCAAACCCTGCAACCCACCAAACCCGAGCCTTCAAGCCCTTTAAATCCTAAACCCTACAGCCTGTAGATCCAAAATCTCTTTGGAAATGCGCTTTTGGATTGAACTTCGAGGTTTCGCTGCCTTTTGGGGGGCCGCGTCGACTGATCCGAGTCGTTGTGGGGCTGAGGATCTTGCCTATTAGCTATGTTGCTTTGTGGTAGTTGTTGCCAGATAGAAATGGCTATATTGCACGGTGGTGCTTTTCCGTGGCGTCGCATTTGGTAGTCGTCTTTTGGGGTTCCGGACTTCTGGCGTCGGATGTATTGCTTCAAGGCCCACTGTAACAAACTTACCTAAAGTTCTGAAGACATGTTCTTACAGAACCCTTTCCAACCTATGTAGATCCTTGAAAAAACATCAGCCCGTTAAGGCCTTAGGGATTTTTTCAAGGCTTAGTGTTTGGGGCTTCAAAGTGTAGGGTTTAACGTTTTATAAATTTAGGTCCAGGCTTCAAAGCCTACAAGACTCAAATTCCAAGTGCGTTGAGACTAGAGGTTGAAACTTTCGGCTTCCCCCGCCAGCAACTCGGCAAACGTCACCCCAACAGTTTCCGGATCCGAGGCTGTGGGTTTGATTTTAAACCAGGCTGCATGGTGGTCCAAAAGCGGCGCCGCTGCGCTTGCGGCAGGAGCAGCAGCCACCGGTGCTGAATACAGGGCAGAAAAAACACGGAAGGATGCGTTCACTTCATCGGATTCTCGAAACTCGAACCAACCTGCCGTGGAAGCCGAATCTGACTGGCAAAACCCGTGACATCGAGCTGCATAATTATCTTTTTGCACAGTGGGTGCTGAATGTCAACACCGTCTGTGACCCACAAAACACGAATCCGCGAAGCACTTAAACCCAATCCCCAGGACCTGAACCCTCTGCACACGCAATATATGCCCCCTTCAGAATCCAAGCCTGGTGCGGGGGCTGCTGGAGCGGCAGGTGCCGCACCTTTCGCTCTGGGCTTGGGGGCAGGGAGAAGCATGCGTTACGATGTCTCGGGGAGCTCAGATCCTAGGAAGATCCATGCCTACTGCCATTGTGGAATGTCGTCCCAACGGCCACTATGCATAGGGTCTCCTTTGATCCGGCTGTTTCATGGTAGCCAATCCCAAAGCATGGACGAGACGTGCTCTCCCAGACCCGACACCCTGAAGCTTGCTTCTGGCTTGCCCAATGTATATGTGAGGACAAAAGAAGCGAAAGTTGCAGATCCGTGAACAGTCGGAACTCAAAACCAAGCTTAAAGCTTGACTGCTGGATCAAGGGAACCCCAAAAAATCGGTTTCCTGGGCCCGGGATTTCAGCCTAATTACCTCGGTTTAAGGGTTTCGGGTTTCGGGTCGTAGAGTCTTGGGTTTAGGGATTCGGGTTTTGGGGTTTAGGGTTTACGGATGTCAGTGGGGCTTTGAAGGGTGCTTTTGGGGGTTTCCCGCCTCCGGCGCCCAGCTTGCCAATGATGGAATCCTTGCGACGGGAACTCCAGAAGAGATACCGAGGGGGTTACTCCAGGAAGAAACTTGGGATACAGAAGCCAAATGCTCCCGAAACACGCCTGTCCACTCTACTTCGGCCGAAACCTTAGGGCTGACTAACAAAGCTTAAAGTTAATGTTTTAGGATTTCAAGATTCAAACTCGTTGTGGGGCGTTCGGGCTCGGGGTAGAGAGGTCAAGATCTAAGGAGCATTATGAGGACCACATGACTAGGCTCAAAGCCACCCAGATGGTCTGGCGAGTCTCGGTTTGAGTTGTGGGTAGGATTTGATTTGGGATCTTGAGAATCCGGCTGGCCTACATCAGCTACGGACCTTGGCCTTCCAGGACAGTACCAAATTCCTAAGGAGCCTTATCCAAAGCGCTTCGATGGACCCTGACTAAGACTACGTGGTGAAGTCCAAGGTCGCTTCAGAAAGATACGAGCCGCTAACAATTAAAGGGAGCTTTGACCTTTTTGGCTCATAACGTTTGCCTCGGATGTCTGCGACTGGGATCCCTCTGCGGTGGAACCGTGGCAAGTACAAAGAAATGAGGGGTTGCATGCTCGAACGCTCTAGGCGGACTTGCACCGAAGCTAAGCCCAGACTCGTCAGCCAAACAGGAACACTGAACGCCAAACTGTCAAATTCGCACTTCTCCGGAATGAGCGGCTGGGGCATACTTGGTGATCACATCGGGAGGGTGGATCCTGAGCTCGGAGGCTGCAGGCAAATCTCGTAATCCTGTGCCATCGAAACTGCCGCTATCAATCTTACTCTCAAACAATGCTGCTCAACCTCAGCCTTCTGATCATGGCAGCAAAGACCATCAACAGTACCGCTTTCTCCAAAAAAGCTAGCGGTCACCTGAACCATCGCCTCATTGTCGTCACGACCGTCGTCGAAATCAACTCTCGCGCAACTGGCATGCTTAGTCTGCTTCCGTTTCGCACCCAAACCGACAGATGACCTGGCATAATGGGCGATTACATTACATCTGGCCTTCACTCTTCGAGTGCTCTACCTGCATGCGAAGCCCTGCTAACCAAAATGAAACTCTTGTCCTGGAAAACACCACTCAAATAGCGGGAAGAAAGCCGTCGTGTTCGAGCCTCACAGCCTAAGAGCTTAGAGCGTAGGGATTTTGATGTCCAGGGCGCATGTTGAACTCCTCTGTGGCATCTTTGCCCGCAAAGGTGATGATCCTGGGCTTAAGGTTGAGAGTCGTAGAGCTATGCCCCAAGCTTTAGAAGAGCAGAAAGCAATGAAAGTTGTTCAACATTGATGGCGCGCCATTCTTTGAAGCAGGTTCGCATGGCTTAAAATTTAAAAGAGCGGGGGGGTTGGGGGGCTTGACGGAAGGTCCATTGATGGCGTTGTTCTTGCTTTGTTGGGAGGACACTTTGCTGGAGCCAGCCTGATTCGAATATGTGCCGTCAACGCAAACCAATTCAGGATTGTAATGCCAGAGTGTAACAGCAGGGAACTGAATCGTGGATCAGGGCTCAGAAACGTTCACGGACGGGGGAAGTGTTGAGTTAAGGGTCTAAGCTTGGAGTTTGCGGCTCAGCGGATCAGAGAAGGGCCCCAGGTGAACATGCGTCTTTGGCGAGGGCTGCGCTGATTCTGAACCTCAAACCAACCGCAAGCCCACCAAACCTGGTGAAGCGCTAAACCCTCTCAACCCAGTATCCCGAACCGAAATCCAAGATTGATCTCGAAATCCCAGCGCCAAACCCCAACAACCCAAAAACCCTAAACCCAAACCGTTGCGGTTCCCCGCTGCCCGCAACTTAAATCACGACATCATCCCTGCCTTTCTGAAGGCCAGGGTGCGCCAACTCGCCGCCCGGATGTTCACTCAGGAAGCTGGTGACATTCAGGACATCGCCAGCAACGACCACCTCAAGGTTGTAAATGTGTAGGCAATGGGACGGCTACTAAATTAAGAATTACTTCGATGTCGGCTAGGGGTCTCTCGCATGCATCCACAATAGTAAGCGCATAAGGGCGACCCCATACCCCAAAGCCTTGAGGGGCCCAGGTGCCCATGAGAAACTGTTTCGGGTCTAACGTTGCATGGCTCACATCTGGTAATTCTAATTTGGCACTCTCAACAAAGCACCCGCCGTCGGGGCGCGTTACTCTGCCAACGAGGGCAACCAATTTGAATAGTGCCCAGTATCCAGCACATCACCGAAAACATCGAGAACGGCAAAGCCGAGACTCTGTACCAAATCCGTGAAGCCTACACCCTGAAGTCCTGAAGCCGCAAGCCAGAAATCGACAATAATCTGAATTCGGTTTGTTCGAGGGCACGTTCTGTTCATCTTCTCGTGTGCATATTATGATCTCCTTGTGGGGAAATTATAAGAAAAGCCCCAGGTCAGAAACACCCCAATGCTCGACAGCCAAAACCTTGAAAATCCAGAGCCTAAACTGCCTGAAGATCCCAAAACCAGAATGCACAGCAACAACAGCTGCTTAAGACCTTAAGACCAAAGTAGTATCTACAGCAGGATGCTTAAGTTGAACACCTATATAAAGAGGCATGGAAAAGAAAAGGAAGATCCTACAACAAATCGTTCTCGGTTGAAAAAAGACCAAGGGAGAAAGACCAGGTCTCCGTGCCCAGCAGTCAGTCTTGGAGTTGTGCTTGGCCACCTGGGGGAGTGGCTCCGTGTTAATTCTGCGGGTTTGAGCGTTGGGCTTAGAACGTCCGGCGTTTAAGGGTCAAAGGTCTTGAGGCAGGTTCGTCTGATTCATCCTTCAAGTAACTGCTCTAACCCTCCAGAAACCCACAGAATCCTTGTAAGCCATAAAGAATGCAAACCCCTGTTTCTTACAAATCGGGCAGTCCTGCCTCTGCCATAGATATCGCCATTGCTTCCAGAACCTGATGCGATGCGCTAGAACTCTTGGGTTATAGCAAGGATCCGAATATCGCTGCCTCAAAGACAGGACTACATTGGATTCATTCCTTTCCTGTGAGAAACAAGCTTGCCGTGACTTGATGCCAGAAAGCCCTGTTAGGACTTGGTGATACAGGCCTTTCGGCAGGTATGGCTTGGGGTTTAGAGTTTCAAGCTGGTGCCCTGGACCCTCGGCAGAGCCCGCCTGAGGCAATTCACCGGCCACGCTACTGAACGGACTTCAAAAATGGGCGCACTAGTGCTGAGCCCACGATGCGGTCAAATTTGTGGCCAACACTGCATCCTAAAGCGTTGAGGCCTAAACCTAAACCGCAAAACTAAAACGCCGCTGTGCCTCGAGACATAAGTCTAGGTGCTTCGGAACTAAAACGGTTTGGGATACCTAGGACCTCAGGACTCCAGCCCTCAACTGAAAACAATGGTGTGTCGAAGGTCTGGGCTCGAATGTAAGTCAACCGATACGAACAAAATCTCCGAATCCCGAACTCTGCACCCAGTGAAGGCCTCAGAACCCAGCAGTTGCGCCCACCGAGACCGTGCAAACTCCCACGACTGCGGCCGAACTGTGACCAGGGATGAAAAGAGTCCTGAAGAGTGTAGTATGTCTGGTGAGGAGGTTGTGGATGGAACGCAGGTGCTCCCCCAACCCATTGCAGGTGGGACCCAGACATGGACTCAGCTCTTTTGTCTGGGCCGGGTCCTCGGCACTGTCCACTTGAACAGCGCGTGCGAGGCTATGAAACGTGACCGTGTCAACGGTCCTACGAGCTCACGACGTGTGATTAAAGTTTAGAAAGGATATTTTTTTGGGGAGGAGCAGCCTCTAGTTTTAGGGCTGTGCCGGCTCCTGGCTCAGGGATCCGGAGGACATGGCGAAGAGGTGGGTGTAGAGCGGGAAGCTGGCGTAGATCAGAGCGATGAAGAAGGTGAAGACGTAGCCCATGTGGATGGCTCGGCTGTGGTACTTCTTGGGGATCTCCAAGGCCGGAGCGGGCACGACCTTCTGCCAGCCCAAGCACATGTGCGTGCTGAAGATGATCACAGCCGCCAAGTAGAAGAGCACCCAGCCGAGGGACTGGAAGATCTCGAACTCCATGCGGTAGATATCCCGCACGTACACCGCCTGGCATCCTGGGGTGTCAACCCAGAAGAGGTTCAGCCTCAGCTGGAGCAGCGTCGCCCTTAGCTGTCGCGCGAAATGGGAAAAGGCTTGAAACTTGAGGTTTGGGCTTAGGTAGAGCATGAAGCAAGCCACCATTCAATCTTCGTCATCGGATGAGCCGATGTGCAGGAAGCTTCTTTTTGCGAAGAGAACTGTAGAGCCATTGACTTCGTGGTTTCTTAGCCAAACAGGTTGGTTTAGGGTTGAAGGTTTCGGATGGTCACAAAGTTCAACATGTCACTGTCGACAAGATTTCTACGGTGCGCAGGTTCACCCGGCAACGGGCCTGACCCTGATCCCTAAACGCAATCCGTGAAAGCCCAAAGCCTTGACACCACAAAACGCACACCCTGAACCGGCCCGTGCTCTCTCTCTGCCCGGCGGCAGATTCAGCAGGTAGGGCGGCGGGCAGAGCTTCCAAGGCTCTGTGTCGCCAAACCTGAAGAAAGCGGTGGGAGGCTTCCAGTTTAGGGTGTGGGAGTTTGAGCTTGCGAGTTTGAGGCTTTAAGCTCTCTACACGACCGTGTCTCTTAACCGTCTGAACCGTAGCTCTTTCCTTCTCCCAAAGGCTCTAACCGCAGCGTGCTCACAAGTTTGGGGCTTCTTGGGCTTGTCGTTCAAGCTGTGTTGTGTTAAAGACAAGATGGAAGGGCGGAGTGTGAAGCCGAGGTCGGGAGCACCAGACTCACCAGACCTCCACGTTACTAAGTGTATGCCATGGGGGCCTCACCAGTTGGAATCGGGCTTGATGAGATCATTATAGCAGCCTAGTTGTGGCAGGCACAAGTGGCAGATGCCTGCGCTTGATTTTCCAAGCCTCTACATTGACTCTACATTCGTGACAGAGCACCACGACGACTATGACGACCAAGGCGACCGAAGCAGGACCATAAGAGATCACCCGGGGACCACTAGGAGACAATTCCAGAGGACGGGCAAGATGCTTGCCTCCAAGTACTGGCGCGATTCGGGGAGTGTTTGGAGGAAACAAAGTGGCCCACGTATTGGAACTCAATGAATCTGGCTTCCCAGACCCCCTGTCCACCACGATCCTGTGCAATAAAGAGATGCGAGCACCAAATAGAGCAACCACGTCCCGGGAAACGTTTTTCTGCGCGCGCTTCACGATGTGCACTATAGTGTTTGGGAAACTATTTGTTCCGGCCCCTTTACTCTGAACCAAGGGAGGGAGGTCCTGATAACACCCCCTCTCCCCTTCCAAAATAAAACCTGCTCCATGACCCTTTTTCTGCACAGTCAGAGAAGCCGGAACTGGTAAAGGTGGATCATCATGAAGGTGAGCAAGGTGACGCCGGAGAAGGCCAGGTTCAACTTGCCAGATGCTACCTCAAAGTGTGCAAAGCATTGCCAGACTTGCGAGTTTGCATTTCGGGTATGCGCCCGTTTAGGACTTGAAGATTCAGGGGAATCAGAGTGTTATTTGTTTGGAAGTGTGATGCTTGTGAGGCTTAGCGAGTGTCTGCGCTTCTCCCTCTAGGGGCTAGGCAAGGTTCGGTGCTGAGGGTCGCGCTCATAATCCAGAGCACACGGCATGATCCTTTTACTTGAGTTTGTCGCGTGTGCGGGTCGTTTGCAAGTGTCCAGGCATCCTCTATCCGTCTCGATGAGTCATCATTGTGATTCTTGCTCGTCATTATCTAGAGCGCGAGCCGTAGGTAACCGGAATAGCAACGCTGATGCTGGCGCAAAGTCGCGAAGACGAAACATGACCTGCAAATGTAGCAGCACGATAAAGCCAGTTAGATATCTTTGGCTGTGCTGATGGCAAGAACCAGCATCGTAGTATCAGTCTTCTCTAGATGTCAGCTGAAACAGCCCAGCAGCGGAGTAGTTCATGCTAATGTCCCACGTCCTCCCAGTGGCGTTGAGGCATTGGGCTTGGGACTTGCGAGTGTGGAGAAAAGCGGATTCACAGATTCGGGCTGTAGATCTGCAGTTGAGGCTCTCGGGTACTTTGAGGGCCTGAGCTAATCCAGTTACAACAGGGTTTTCGGTATAGGTCTATCCAGTTGCTTTGACCTTTGGTTGGATCCAGGATGCAGGCCGCCATGAATATGTCACGACGGGCTTGAGAAGCGTTTCCTGGGCCTTGGCCCTCGAGGCCCAAAACCCAAGCCAAATTGTCTTACCTCTGAACCACACTACCTGACGTCCTCTTCAGGGCGACAAAGACGTGCAGCAGGGCCGCAAGCAGGATGTACTCCTCAACGATGTTGGCCTGGAGCTTGGCATCTGGGGACTCTCAAACCCGTTATTATACCCGTATACCGTAGAACTCCTAAACCCTGAGCGGCTCAGACTTCCCAGGAATCCCCCTACCCTCACAACATGCCCAAGGCGCCTGGAAGCCGAAGCCCGTCCAGTAGAGCCGGACATAGAAGTAGCCGTAGCCGTTAAAATCGTCCGGGCCTTCATGGGTTAGGGGCTTCGGGATTTCGGTTTGGTAGGCGTTGACGTTTGTAGGATAAGACTTTCCAACTGCAGGGCTTCAGGGCTTTGGGACCAGGCTTGAAGGGTTAGCGTTTTACGGGCTCAGGGGTTTTGGAGGCTTGGGTTTAGGGTTTCGCACCACTTGGTGTAGGCCTAGGTTTGCGGCTTGAGTATGGTCAAAGTCAGAGGGTTGACGCATCAAGGCCTTTGCTATGGTAAGCGAAGTAAAGCTGCTCAGGAGGAACCGGCTCCAGTGTTCGAGGCTTTGCCCCTCTCCGGGCCTAGGAAGACGTGCAGGTTGCCGACAGCGTGGATGATGATGAAGATGAACAGGAACCTGTTGCGCGCACGGGAGTCTTAGTAGCTTTACTGGAGCATGCCATCTCGGGCAAGTGCTTTGACGAAAATCAAACCTGTCAAAAACTCTACACCTGCATCCTTCTACCTGCTGCCCTTACTCCCAAGTCCAAACCGAAAACCCCAAACCCTGAAGAATCAGCCCTAAACCCTGACCCGTAAGCCCTATTCCCATACACCCCATGCCTACTCAAATCCTACCCCAAAAACCTCAAACCGTGAAACCTCGAACGAGCAGGCAGGCCGACCGTCGAGCATCCGACCCATGTCGTCTCGGGTTCTGTTTAATGTTCAAGGAACAGGGCTTAGGGCGAACAGAGTTTGGGGGCTTAAACGTAAACTTACTCCCAGCGTAAGAATCTCGACACTGAGTACAGCTGTACCGGTTAATGCCTTATGCCTGTCCTATGTCCCCCCGAAGATGATTCCAATCGTTCAAGCCCTTTTAACGTCTGCACAACTCTTGTATAGGTTCAATGAGAACGAGACATAAGAAACAGATAGAGATGCCGCACATCTTCAGGCCCACGATCTTCACCCTGCACAAGAAGCCTGGAGAACACTGACCCCTACACCCTGGGACCTGAACCCCAAACCACCACGAACCCCATATTTCCCCAACTCTGGCACCGCCAAGACGCATCGCGGAGCGTGTGAGACCGACGCGGTCACCAGTGATGGTCACGTTGCTCTGCGGCACGATGGTGAAGAGAATCTCCTTCATGAAGCCGAGGACCTGACCCCAGAGAAATTCATGACTGGGGTTTAGGCGGCTTCTGTGGTGATCTTGACTGCCACCCTGAACGTACCTTAACGCCCCAACCCTGAACCCTGAGCGCCGAGACACCATGTAGAAGACGGCACCGATCCAGCCAGGGATCCTGCCTGAGAGAGGGAATCATTGGGGTCTTCTAGGGAGGGGATGTATGGTTTGGGCAGATGATGGGCTTGGACGAGTTAGGGCTTACGAGCTGTCAGGGCTGAGACGGCATAATTTTCTTGAGGTATCTTGAGATTGGCAGTTGACGGTTAACGGTTAACATGGAAAGCTCAATCATTAGACTGGGCCCTGCTGCAGAAAACTACAAGAGTGTCAGGAGTGTTCTCGGAGTGTTTTGCTTGCTCATCCTCATGTTTTCTATCTTCTTGTAAGGGATTCATTTGGCGATTTGTGTTCAGAGGCGCGGTCTGGGATTGGTGGGGGTTGGTTGGCATTCGGAGACTTAGGCGGGCACACGACTTGAGAGGACTGAGCGAAGCTCGAGAATAGACCTGGGGAGCGCTCTCAACGTTTGACTGAAATTGTCTGTTTGCCTGTCTGTCCGTCTGTCTGTGTGTGTGTGTGTGCATGCGCATGTACACACGCATGTTATATATATATATAGATGTATATACATATATATATATATATGTGTGTGTGTGTGTACGTGTTTGTTTCTTCTTGTATTCATATTCATATATGTATATATATATATATATGTCCAGATTTATATGCCACGTTGCCCTCACCCTTCATGCGCTCCGCACGGTTCCTGGGCTGTCGTGGGGCTGCGCATTCGATGACCCCAAGCACACCAACCCCTAAGCCGCCCTTGGGCTTCTTGGGCCTCGGAACAGAAGCAGGGCTTGGGCCGAAGCTCGCAGTTTGGGGGTCGGCTCGAGCTTCGTCGAATAACATGCAGTATAGCAAGTAGGGAGCGGGGTTCGGGGTTCGGGGCCTACTGAAGAATCCTTGGTAAGTTGGTTATCAGTGGGGTTGCAAATAGCAGAATCCTAAATATAACCAACTTGTCGAATCCCCATCTTGCAATTCAGAAACCTATTACCGGAGAGGGCTCCGTTTCAAACTACTTATTGGCTATCCTTTCGAAAAACCCACCTACAGCAACTCCTCAAAGATCACCCTTTTGCAGCTTGGGGGGCTCCTTCCCGCAAAAAAAGGGACCAACCTGAACCCAAGCTCTAAAGCAAAACACGCAACCCTTAAAACTCCAAAACCAGAGTTACCTATACCCCGAACACCGCGGACGCACCCCACCGAAACCCGTAAACTCTCTGAGAACCCATGTAGAACCAGGACCCGAAAACCGACACGCCAGTATGCAGAAAAACTCAAGACGCATGCAAGTCCGGAAAGAGAAGCGCGAGCAAATACATGAAAAGCCCCAGCGTCTGCTCATGTCTGGTCCAATCCTTCGCCTGGCCCCGGAAGTTCAGTGCATTTGAGGCTTTTGACTGAGTTTAGGGCTTCACTCCTCTGCTAAGAAGGGATTGGGTTTTGGGAGGAATGAACGGTGTGAACAGTTGCTGAAGAATCAGAATGATTTAGCGAGCACTGGCTATAAGAATCCTAACAACATCAGAATAGCAATGATAGTTTGAACCATTCGTACAAGTATACTGGTGCTTGCAATATCTAGCAATGATGACAATTTCTATTACTCCTCTCAGAAGAATCAGGTACTGGCAGTCATTTGAACCCTGCCTGATTACGGCGCTGCCAAAACCCATCACAACACGGCTACAGAAAACCCTAGCTGGGACCCCAAACCTTACAAAAACACCCACCTCAGTTTTAAACCAACGACAAGAAAGAAGGCTCTCACCAACAAAAGGGGCTCTCCGCCAGTGCCGCGCTGCCTTGTGTCCACTCTTCTCCAGCAGCGGGGCTCCGAGCCCGCCTCCCGTGGCCGGGGCGGCAGCCGCCGGAGCGCCAGAACCGACCTGGGACCGAAGGCGGAAGCAAAAAAAAACGAACGCCCGCTGGCTCCGTCCCTAAACCGCCGAACCACGCTAACACTTCTGGCAAACACCCTGCGCCACAAGCCCGGAAGAGCCTAGGGAAGCGTTACGTGGAACTCCTGTGTACTTAGCCCGCACACCGCCCACACCCAGCTCCACACCTCGTAGGCCAAGTACCCCAAACCCGAGGCCCCAAGTACCCCAAACCCTGGGGGCCTTTCCAATGATGGAGTCCGGGGCGTACTTCCCGATGACGTCGGGAGGATGGATCCTGAACTTCCCGGAGGAAAGGTCTTTCGGTTTGGAGGGTCTTTAACGTCTTAGGGTTATCAGGCTGTTAGGGTACATAGGACATAGGCTTTCTTTGTAGAGCTTTGCAGCTTTCATGGATTTTTTCCTATTGGGAGCCGAGACGTGCTGCAGCTCTTGAACTCTAGTGTCTGCAGCCGTCACTACTCAACTCCCTCATCTGTACAATGTACTGCTTCAGGTCGTGGTGTTCAGCTGCTGCTCTTCATGACTCAAGCTGTTCATGACTCCAGATGAAATATGCCTGCACAGAGTAGGCTCTACCACCTCCGTTTCAACATGTCTGGCATCTGCCGAGTGTCATGTTGAACTCCTCGGTGGCATCCTTTCCGGCAAAGGTGAGGATAGCCAGCTCGCCACCGGGGTGCTCCGACAGGAAGCTGGTGACGTCAAGCACCTGAAGGCCCCTTTGGGCTTAATTCCCTTTCGATAGTAGGAGATGTCTGCTGCTGCTCATGCCTCTAAAGCTTGAGATTCCTTGCTGAAGCGGGCTTGCAACCTTCTCTGGCGGTGCTTGTAGGCCACAAACGAGTCCTTACAGGTTGACGTGTTAATATGTAGAGTCCTTTGTTTTTTGATGGCAAGGGGCGTGGATTCAATTTTGGGGATTGCTGCGGACGACCTTCCTTGCAGTGTGACCCCCTCGCAAGTTGAGCATAAGCCCCCGGGGCATCGCATCCTACCGGACGGCCTATTGAAAGTCGGTTGCCGGATTTAGGGAGCCCGCCTGTCCGTCGACCACCACCCAGCAGTCCGTCTTGCTGTTGTGCTTGCCCACCTTCAGAGATGCTGCAAGGTCTCGAGATGGGAAACTCTACAGTTCGGGCGGAGGTTAAGGTTTCTTGATCTTCGGCTGCAGGGCTCTGACATCTCGGGTATCCAGCATTTAGCTTGACTTCAAAGCTGCTGAATGCGTAGCTGTGGATTTTGGGGCTCAGGGTTCGGAAAAAGCCCCCAGGCTCACAATCGGAAGCGGCACACAACGGGGGCTCGGGAAAGGCAAACCGCGAGCACCGGCCAGGTGGTGCTGTTCTCTTGCGGGGGCGTGGGATCTTTTTGCACTCTTGGCTGAGACGCGATGACAATTAGACCAAAGACCGAACCCGCCAACAGGCACTGACGACCTCTTCCATCGTGATTCCACCGCCGCCGCCGCCGCCGCCGCCGGCCGCAACAGCACCGCCACCGCCGCCACCACCAGCGCCGATCCTGTTCATCGGATTTTGAGATTGGGATTTTGAGATTGAAGAATGGAGCAGCAGGTCGCCAGAATCTCTGTGTATGTATGCATGCATTTATGTATGTATGCCTGCATGTATGTGTGTATGTGCCTGTATATATACACACATACACATATGCATATACACAGATATACACAGATATACACGTATATACACATATATACACATATATACACATATATACACATATATACACATATATACACATGTATACACATATATACACATGTATACACATATATACACATGTATACACATACATACACATATACACATATGTACCATACACACGCACACACATGTATACATACATACCTATAGAGTATACATAAATAGACATGTGCATAACTACACATATACACATACACCTAAACGCATAAGTACATATATACACATACATACATATTTACGTATATGGGCATATACATAAACACATTGTACATATGCGTATATATATATATATTTATGTACACTTTTAAATACATGTATGCATATACATGTACACACATATATACATATACGAATATGTGTGTATACATTATCGCAGTTTTTTATCTATATTTGTACACACACACATATATATATATATATATATACATATATTAATATGTGTATATATGTATAGAGCATTATGTGGGGTTTTCATGGCTTGAGGATATCGGTGTTAGCAAGCCACTGTTGAAGCATCTCCCTAATCGTAGCCGTGGCATACTCCCGAATTCGAGCCCTTACCTGCCACCGCCCATAGAATCACATAGGCCACATTCATTTAGGCCTCTTAAAGCACCACGGAAATTCATCAAATAAATTATCGGGAAGGCCGAGGCGCATGCCAATCACGGAGTCGGGTGCATACTTGCCGATCACATCGGGAGGATGGATCCTGTACGCGGTGGGGTTGAGAACGAAGAGACATGGGAAATGTACAGGCTTGCGGTAATTTGTGTCTTGGGGCTGCGGTCTGGATTGCAGGAGGCTAGGGTGTGGAGGTCATAATGATGTGGGGTTTGGGTTTGGTCATGTTTGGTCTGGTCTAGGCTTTGCTGGATTTGGAGATGTGGTGCGTTCAATTTCGGGGCATGAGTGCAATGACATCATTCAATTCAGCCGAGTGTCATGTTGAACTCCTCCGTTGCGTCCTTCCCGGCGAAGGTGAGGATGGCCAGCTCGCCACCGGGGTGATCCGACAAGAAGCTGGTGACGTCAAGCACCTGACCATCGACCACCACCCAGCAGTCCGTCTTGGTGTTGTGCTTCGCAACGTCTGCAAGGCTGATGCCTCCGCCACCACCACCGCCAGCCGCAGGCGCAGCTGCAGCGGCCGCCGGGGCAGCAGAGTTCATCTTGTCCTCGTAGGAGCCGCCAGCCAGCTTGGAGCTCTCCACCGCACCAGTCAGCCCTCCGCCGGTGATCGCGCACAGATCCACATCCTTCATGTCCGCGCCCAACATGTACTTGGCAGCTGCCTTACCGGCCACGCGGCCGAACACCACGCAGTCCAGCAGGGAGTTGCCTCCCAAGCGGTTGTTGCCGTGCACGCCGCCCGCCACCTCGCCGGCAGCGTACAGGCCCGGAATGGCTTGGTTGTTGGAGCCAACACAGGCGGAGTCCGTGTCGATGAGGAGACCACCCATGCAGTAGTGGATCACAGGCGTGATGATGGCAACATAGAAGGGCTCGGACTTCACGGCAGAGCCCGGAATGATGTTGTGATAGAACTTCTTGCCACTGCCTGTCGTTCCACTGGCCTCATCCCAGCACTTTCCTGAAGGGTACGCAGGCCATTTGCCTCCTTCGGGATCCTTCTCCATCATCTTGGCAGCCTGGTAGTGGTCCTCGTGAGCCTTCTCGATCACGGACAAGGAGATGCCCATGTCCTTGGCCAAGTCCTCACCGCTGTTGTAGTACTTCATGACCTGAAGCAACTCCGGAGTTCCGCATGAGACTATCGTGGCCTAGACTTACAAGAGACGGAAGCTCTGACCAGTGGACTGCTCGAAGTGCAGGGCATGACTCTTGCATGCATGATCCCTGCTTCTATCTCCTCTTAGCCTGCGGCATGTTCAGGACATGAAAGCAAGTCTCACAAACAGGGATACGTACTCATGACAATGACAGTAAAAGACTTGGTCTGAGATCCAAGCACCACGTCCCGTGTAGTGCCTGGCAAGCGACCCGACATCCCACAGAACCAGAGTCTTGACTCCAACACTCAATCCTACACGGGGCGGAAGCGCCCTAAACCAAACCTGAAAGCCTAAAAGCCCGTGTCGCCCATACCTGAACCCTGAGATTAAAATCCGAAGCTCGAAGCCCGCAACTCTCAGCCTACACCAAAAAGCCTCGCCACGAATGACAGACAGACCTTCGGGCCATAGAGCTGAGGGCTCTATGGACGGTAACCTATAAGGTCTACCAAAGTTTTTGATAAATTGAAGAGGTACTGCTATTGTACCATGAAGGATTTTTCAAGGTGTCCCGAACAAAGTGCCACCTAGCAGACGCGACCATCGTCAGACTAGTCCCGTTTCGGCCGGGGGCTTGTTTACACGCCAGGGTGCAGAACTGCCAGGCCGAGATTAGCGGGCTTTTAGTTTGTTTGCGCGGGCGCCACGTCGGACGCAGGGTTTACTGATCCAGGGTTTAGGATCAAGCGTAAGCGTTTTGGGTTGAAGGCTTTAGAATTTGAAGCTTCAGGGTTGGCGGGGTCCTACACCCGAAACACCCAAGCTCCCGAAGCAATTAATTGCTCCCAGGGGTAATGGGTTTGGGGTTGGTATCACCGAATACAGGCCCGAATGCCAAGTATACCTCTGAAAAGATTGGTTTGCGGTGGCCAGAAGCCACACTGAGTGGAGGACTTGCAGTGCCAGATGATCTCGTCTGATGCAGCACGGTTGAGGCAGAGCCTGGCAGCTTGCGGCTGCGATTTGCGACGCCAGGCTTACATTGAACTTGCGCCGTTTTCAACACTAGGATCCAGAGTGTAGGCTTTGGGGTTAAAGGGTTTTGCGCACCGGGTGTAGGATTTAGCAACGAGGGTATCTCCGGGTTGGTTGCATGACGTTCAACTGCTGGGGCTTAGCTTGTTAGGGTTTGGGAAATTTCCTGGGTTGAATGACAAGAGCAGCAATAAAGCGTAGCAGAATCGTGGATTTGGGCGTGGCAAAGTCCTTGTTAATGCTACACCTCCAAATGCTCACCGAATCGCAAAGGTGTACCTTCACGAGGACCACGAAAAGAATCCTCAAACTAAGCGATCTCCGACGACGTTTTCAGAACAGCTCCCAGGAAGAAAAAGTGAACATTCCGCAATTCTAGACCTCAACCTGATTCAATCTGGAGCTGTTTGGTCCACCTGAACGGTGGCTTGCTCTTCCACATCTCGCCCGTGACATAGTCGCGGCCTCGTGAGAAAGCAACGAAACCTGCAACTCCAGTCTCCACTTACTGGCTCGACCCAGCCCTGAGCCTAAAACCCCCAAACCATGTGGCAGAGGATCCCTCCATCCAATATACCCATGCCGCCGCTCCCCCCACCCTCTTTATCTTTGACCCTCGGACCTATCTCAGGCCCTCAGTTCTGGAACAGGGCTTTGGTTTTAAGGTCTTCCCGGTTGCTAGTTCCCTCCGTATGACAGCTTCAAAACCGGGCCAGCCTGATAGAGACCATAAGTATTGTAGGTCACTTACACCCCTGAACACTTAAATGAAACTAAAGGCTAATCACTAACCTCTACATCCTGAACCCTCTCACCATTATCAACCCCCGTTTTCAAGCTCAAATTTGTTGGGTCTTGCCCAAATTTCAGAGGCTTAGTCTTCGTCTTGGGCTTAAGGCTTTAGGCTTTTTCTGTTGGCACACCAGCCCTAAACTCAAGTGCATGGGGGAACAAGCTAGTCCAGCGACTCCATTCCACTTTAGCCACACCCGAGTTTTTCGGAACTCTTCGTTGCAGCTCAATTAAAGGCACACAGCCCCAATAGAAAGCCGGAAATCCCTCCGCATGAGGCCCCAACGTCCCAGCTCGTTGCAGAATCGGTTGCCCTCTGCCTCGTCAAGCTTGTCTCGCGCTTTGCTTGAACCGGCTTCGCGGCTGAAGGCTGTTCCAAGGATGTGTGCGATTCCCGACCCCGCGAAAAGGGGATGCTGGCGCGGCTTCCGGCATCTTATGTGGCTGCTGGAATTAACACCGAGGAAGTGAAACGCTTTGCTTTTCTAGCGGATGGAGGGCTCCCGGCTTCGGATTCATGAAGTTAAGAGGTCAAGCTATCGATCAGTCAATCAATGAAGTCAACCAGTCGAGATCACCGTCATCACCTTCAGCGCCATCTCTGATTCATCACCAACATCATCAATCGTCATGATGAGCTGTGTACACGGTAGTCTCTTGATCGTCTGGCTCGCGAACGGTTCTCGCAAACCCCTGGCCGTAAACTCCGAGAAGGAGGATGTTTCCGACTCTCTGAGCTCTCGGCGTTGAGGATGATGCCGCCCACACCACGCAGGGCCTTCGGGTTCAGGAAGGTTAGGGGGTGAAGGTCTTAAGATTTGAGGGTTTTCGGGCTTCGTGCCTGAAGCGTTCAGGCTTAGGCTTCGGAGTTTGTGAGCTTAAGCTTAAGAGTTTCGGTGGCTTTCTAGCTTAGTGGCTCGGGGGGTTAGGGCTTGGGAGTTGGAGTGAGTCCAGGGGCTCCATGATAAGCGGTCTAGTTAGGGTTTAAAGGGTGAGGATTCAGGGTATCGCTCAGGAAGTCTTCAAGGTTTCAAGAGTTAGTGCTTAAGCATGCAGGGTTCTATGGGCCCAGGGCTTACAGTAGATGATCCGATGCAAGTAACGAAAGAATCGCGGTTTCGGGGTTTCAGTTTTAGAGCTTGGGGATGCGGCTTTGGGGGCTGGGGTCCCTTTTAGGCATGCAAGTAGAAGGACCGCTGACAAGAACAGCAGGTTGAAACAACCTTTTTGCAGTGCATCAAAAGTTTGATGCGGCTTTAAGACAGACCTCTTGTATGGACTGGGATGAGTAGCTCAAGGCTTCTGGAGCCCACGCAAACCTAATACATGTAGGGAGTGCAAAGAAAGCGTTCTTTTTGCACCGCCAGTTGGTTGTTGTCACAACTTGTTGCAAGGAGTCTTGCTTGGTCTGCGTGGAAGGGAGTTCCTCGCGATGCGTTGTCTTTTTCAAGTCGATTGTACTACATATGCATGTAATTCCGACCCAGCTTTCTGCAGCTTGTACGGTTACAACCGAAACTTGATTGGTCCTATGCAGGTGAAGAACCCTGAAATGCACTGAAGTAGCCCGGAACCCAAACCTCAAAGCCGAAACAAAACCGAAACCGTCAACACTGTAAAAACCCTAAATCCTCAATCCTCAACCAAAAATGACCTCGGCAGCCAGGAACTTGATCTTCGCATCAGCATCGTCCGGCTTCACCAGGCCGGTCGGGTGCACCTGAGGGTGGTTCTTCTGTAGTTGGGGGGTATCTGGAGTTTAAGTCCGTAGGGTTTTGGGTTTTGGGCCCTGGGTTTGGGTTTAGGCTTCGCGCATGGGGGGTTTCGGGCTCAGGAACTGTGGGTTTCCAGCTTCAGGGACTTCAGGGTGTAGACTCTCGGGTTGCTACCACCCGGAGGCTCAAACTGAAGGCAAAGCGCTCAACCCCGGTTCCTGGAAGGCCAAGTAGAACTTGCATGGGCGTGAGATGCTTTACTGGTTTTTGAGCCCAAGTCTAGGGAACAGCTCGGGCAGTGTCTTTCTCGGTCTGTCATGACGCCTCGACGCCTCAACAAGTCCTCGACAAACCCTCCAAGGAAAAGGTCCCCAAGCCGAGAAAGACAGAGGACGAGCTCTCAGGGTTCAGGGCCTGAAGACCGAGAGACAGAAACAGGAAAAAGAAACAAGACACTGTTCTAATCACAAAAGGACCCGTTTCTCCACATCCAGACGGTGCACCTGAACCCACTCAAGGTCGATCGTCTTTGCACCAATGGCCTCGGCGAGTCAGTGAGGATCTTTGAGGGGCCTTCTCTTTTAGGATCGATACACTTAAGGTCTTTCTTCGCGTCCTTTGTCCGGGCCTTTGGGTTTCCCGATTTGGATTCACATCCATGGCCGCGGACGGTTTTGTAAAACTTCAAGCTTCAGAAGGCTTGTTGAGCGTGTCGGGGTTAAGGCATCTAGGTTTCGGTGTGCGTGTGTGTGCGCTTTGCAAATTGGGGTTGTGTGGCTTTCTGTGTTGGGATTTAGGGCCTTTGGGTGTTGGCATTTTTGGCAGTGGTCTGATACAGGTGCCTTAAAACTCAGAATAGTGTTCGGGAGCGTGAAACAAGTGTGAAGAGCCTTCAAAGGCATACTATTGCAAATGTACTGAGACATCTATATACCAGGGTGTGAGGTCGTTCAACTTTCAAGGCCTCGGGCCTTTCGATTTCGAGGGCTTTCAGGTCCTGGGCTTTCCGGTGCTTTAGAGTGGAAGTTCGGATTTTCAAGGGCTTCGGCGTAGGATGTACGAGGTAAACCACATCACCCAACGCCACACCCTAAACCTCGCCCCAAACCGAAGCGGACTGTCAGCCCGCCTAGTCCCTTCTCTTCGCACTTCTTCCAGATCCTTGTCCCTTTGCAGTTCCCATGGGTTGAGGGGTCAAGCTCTGGGTTCAGCATTTAGGCTAAGGTTTACGGGTTAGTTTAGTTCGGTAACCTCAACCGCGCTCACCCACAGCAAGCCTGCCAATGCCCATTAACCCACCAAGCTCCTTACCTCAACCTAACACCCGGACAGGATCTTCAAAATCTCACCCCGTTCGAGCCTCGCCCATCTTGATGCCATCGCCGGTGCAGTGCTCACCGTTGGTGGTGGGCCTCGGGCATCCAAGGAGCTTTGTTAAGTGTTTGAAGTTTAGGGTTTGTGGTATGGTATGTTCATGCTCTTAGGTTTCGAGTATCGGAAAAGGAGCAGGGCACGCAGGCTAGGATCTAGTCTTGATCGTTGAAGGTTGAAATCTTAAACCGTTGCAGGATTAGGGCGTAAGAGCTCACAATCACCTTGCAGGGCCTTCCAGGCTTCCGAGCTGCGGGCGTAGCATTGGGAGTTTTATACCTGTACCCTACAGAAGCCACGTTTTGTTCTCTTCTGGGCCAAAAAAACCTGGAGAAACACGCAGGTATTGCAGGGTCCAGTTGGGGTGCAGGGCTTAGGGGTCAGTTGGACTTTACAATCCGCATTCGCATGGACGTCATCATCCCCCCCCAATGTTGCGCGGAGCTCGAACAAACATGGAAGTCCAAGCGGGCATTTGCGAAAAGTCGAGGCTCGGCACAGTGCTGACCAGAAATATTACGAAAACACCGGCGGAAAAATCGATGTGAAAGAAAAACGCAACATTTTTGTGCAACAACGACAGCAGCAGCAGCAGCAGCAGCAGCAGCAAAGATAGTCAGCACAGTGCCGATGACGATGACGATGACGATTGTGGTGATGATGTAACTGAAAATCCTCTGGCCCAAACCCTGGACCCCCAAACTCCGACTCGAAAACAAGCGCCCTGAACCCTGAACAAACCCTCAACCCTGGACCCCCCGCCCCCCACCGGCAAACCCTAAACTCAAACTCCAAGACCCCAAACCCTAAGCGACAACCCAAACTCCAAAACCCTAAAGGATTAGGGATAAAACCAAACTCCTAAACCCTAAATCGGGTCAGGGCACAGATGCAGGAGATCCGGCCGATACTTGGCCAGCAATGAGTCCTGCGAGGTTTCAGGGCTTGGGTCCAGAGCTCTTTTCAGGGTGTGGGGTCTATGCCTATGCGGGTCTATGGCAGGGCTTAGGGTTTGGGTTTAGGCTTTGGAGATTGGGGTTTTGGGGTTTGGGGTTTAGCAACAGAGTTTGGTTTGGGGGAGGCCCGAAGCATCGGTACTGCCTATAAACTAGACCTACCAAAACTACAACCCCGGTCTCACATGTTGTGGTTGACAGGCGTGCCAATGACTGTCTAGGTTTTAGGGTCCTCAGGGTTTGGGACAGGTGGCGTGCTACCGGAGGCTACCCCGTCCAAACAGCGTATAGTAATCTCAAAACTGGCCGTGTGCCTCTGTTCGAGGGTCGAGCGTTTGGGGTTTCGGTGGCCCGAAAACCACGAAATTCAGCCCAGCTCGAGGATTCACCTCAAGCTTCACAAAACGGGAGAAGAACGACAGCTTTTGTTCACTGGACATTACTGGTAGGGTCCCCTCTCTGGCAGAAGTTAGAATCACAGCTGTTTGACCCTAAACATAAAGTCCAAGCCTCCAAGTCTACACCCTAAGCCCAGACCCTGGAAGTCCTTCCACGGACCATACCCCAAATCATGAAACCCCCAAGCCCTTGTTAGACCCTAAAGCCCCCAAGCCCGACACGGAAACCCCAAGGCCCAAAACCCTACATGCCAAATCGTAAATGCCGCGACCTGGGTAAAGTCGGCTCCAAAGCCGCCTCAGAAGCCGCGCGCAGGGGGCTTCAGGCGTAATGAAGCTTTGGAACTTCAGTGTCTTCAGAGGGGGCGCTCTTGTTCTTCTGGGCAGGGAATCCAGGGCAGTTAGTTCTGCTAAGTCGTGAACCCCAAGTCCTACACCCTGAGACCCGAAAGCTCTTGACCAGCTTGTGCCCTAAACCCCAAGACCCTGATCCCAAAACTCTAACAAACCCAAAACTCTCAGCGCAAGACTTACAACCATAAACCTGGAGGCCTGGGCCGGCCCGCCCTTTGGGATTTCCGACGACGCGTACCGGGTAACTTTCTTGCTTAGGGGTCCTCGTAAGTGTCCTCGTCCTTGGTTTTCAGCCGCATCTGGAGGGATACCAGGCTGCGGTCTTGGACAAGAAGAGGCCCCAATACGTCCATTAACTCACTAACTGTTTCGAAGTCTTCGGGCATTGCGTCTGTGTTCAGCTGCAATACCCAGTGCCTCTGCCGAACCCAAGGGTAGGGATTCTTTATATCGATCCCCTCAGCGCGAAATGTGGTTCAAAACCCGCCCCAGCCATTTCAGCTCCGGAAGATGTGAACCTGGTAGGTAGAAAGATTGATAGCCAGGTGCATACATCCGTCCGTATGAGAATGCACGATATTGCTTACCCAAACCCACGGTCCAAAACCCTACATCCTAAAGCCATCTGAACCCACAACGTAAACTGAGCCTTGAACCCCAAAACCCTAAACTCCGTAAACCCTCGAACCTCAAACCCTAAGACTTTTAAGCTTTGGGCCCGCAAAAACACGCGCCTGACGCCAGGATCACCGGGCCGAACTCTTGCAGGTGGAGGCCGCCCTTCTCCTTGGCAGGGGCAGAGTGTCCGGCTTAATGTGTGGGGTTTGGGGCTGTTGGCAGCTCTGGGCTGCCTCCTGTGTATACATGCATGTACCCTAAACCCTAAGCCTCCAAGCTGTACAGTTCCCTAGTCATAAATATATATATGTATATATATATATATATATTTTTTTTATATATGCATGCTAC